ATTATTCTATATTTTTTTTTTTTTATTTTTATAATATTTTATATTTTTTAATCATTTTATTATAATAAATATTTATTTTTTTTTTTACATTTTTGTTTTTTTGATTATCCAATTTTTTTTTTTTTTTTTTTTTTTTTTTTCTGCCTGTGCGATCTTCTTTTCGTTTAGGATGTCTTGGCTTATGCATCGTTTCACTGCAAGGCTTATGCTCGAGCCCTGATGCACTTTGAAGCCTTCATTTCAAGCCAAAAACAGGATATACAGCAACACCTAGGATTTATTCAGAAGTTGTACATAGCTCTAGATGAGCCTGATGGGGTGGCTGGTGTAGCAGCGAGCAGAAAACGACAGCCGACTCTGCATGAACAGATTCTAGATCAGAAAAGTTCTGGTATGGCAAATAATTCTCCGACTTGTGAGATTCCTGTAGACTGCGAACAAAGTGTTTTTTCTCAGGCTGGCGCCCTGTTATTTTTGCATCTCCCCTCGCATTCTACGCATATTATCCCGATAATGCAAAATTTACTTGTAATAACCAAAGGTTACGGAGTGCGGGCGATAGCGATCGAAGGTCAAAACGCTTTTGCTCCATCACTATGCTAGTGTGCTTTGCGTAAACTTCACGTGAGAAGTAGTCAAAACACGCGTGATCAGATTACGTGTGATAGAAGGTCCTAACGCGCGTGATCCAATTGCGTTCTTTGCATTCTATTCATTCTTAGTGGAAGTCCAAACTAATGCTGGCAACATTCACGCGATGCATGCGTAGTAACATCCTGGACATTAGGATTGCGCGTTCCTCTTGTTGCCCGCAACTACAAACAAGAGACTGCAATACAGTGGAAGCTCTCACGAGTCAGGGGTGGACATCCCTGGGACGTGGAAAAGGTGCCCGCTGGCGGCCGCTGACGGAAATGTAAAAATACAGAGTTTGTATGGGAGTTCAGAAAAAAGGGGTTTTGTGAAGGCGGCCGTAATTAGAGCTGTCCGCTTACGAGAGTGTTCGTTAGGAGAGCTTCCCCTGTTGACGTAAAGCTTTGGCAAGTTTTCATCATTACATGCGTCTTTCTCATACTCTATTTCGTTTTAGTTGATTTTTTTTTTTTCAGAGAGTCCTAAAATGTGGCGTGATAAAAAATAATTTGCGAAATTATGGGATTTGTTGCGATATTATAAAAGAGCAACATCTAAAAGGCCTACTTGCCAAAATAAGCATTCCAGGGCAATTAATAGCCCAGTTATGCTCTGATGACTCCATACATGGAGCCATCAGCGCAAAACGGGACTAGTATCCTCGAGACAATTTGCCCAACAATGTTAGTTTTTGGCAAGTAGGCTTTTAAGATTTTCTTTCAAAATATCACAACAAATTCCATAAAGTTTATGACGTCATCTTTTCAGAGCTCTATTGTTAACGTTTTCAATTCGTTAAAATTCGCCTAATTGCTTAATTATTATTATCATCATCATCATCATTATTGTTATTATTATTATTACTATTATTATTATTATTATTATTTATTATTATTATTATTATTATTATTAACTTTTTGATGCTTTTTATAATTGTTATTAGTAGTTTTTAGATAGTCATTTTACGACAATTCTCTTTCGTATACAAGAAGAATGTACATAGGGTATATATTTTAATATTCATATTCTTGAATCTGTAAGTAGTCTATTTTTTTGAATCTATGAATAAAGTTATTTTTATATTATTATCATTATTATTCTATGTTTATTCTAGGAAAACTCTGTGATGCTTCAGCTCGTTACGAAAGAGCAATCCAAGAAGAACCAAATGAGATTGGACATCACAAGGTCACTGATTGTAACATTAGTTCTTTTATGGGAAAATTAATGTTGACAAAAGCGTCTTATCACGCTATAAACCAAACAGGAGTTCCAGTCTTCATTGATGTGTAATCTTTGTTTTAGAAGAGATAAAGACGTCCCGGAGAATTGTTGGTCAATAATCGTTGAATATTTTTAGAGTTCTTAACGCCAGTTTGTGTATAATTATATATGTTGTATTTCAAATAATTTATGTATTAATTTTGTCCTGGGTATTGATTGTATTTTCCTTTGTTTCAAACTTATTATCGTACTCCAAACCAAACTACCCCTTCTTTGAAATTTCGTTACTTACTGTCATTCAGCAAAATAATAGGGGAAACAATCTTAGAGGTTTAATATATCTGAAAGCTAATTTCTCTTCAACGTGGCTACATCCCCCCCTCCCTCCCCCGCGCTGGGTTAAATCGGTTCCTAATCTTAGGTGAGGGTCATCTTCGTAAATACCAGTACTTTATTTTCATAACTTTTGCCTCATGGGAAAAAGACGGCGTGTGAAAACTTGGTTCACTGGAAGACACGACAAGATAAGCTGGTCAGCCCTTTTACAACCTTGCGGTTTT